CTCAGAGGTAGGTAGTGCTATTATTACCCCTGTTTTACAGCTGAGGAAATAAAACCCAGAGTAAGTGATGGTACTAAGACACAAATTCATATCTTCCTATTGTGTTCTGTCTACTCTTTTGATTTTTAGCTGCACTGATGCCCAGCAGAGAAGCCATGAGAATAAAGGAAGATGAGAACTAGAGACAACTGTGGTCCTGTTGGGTAGGGGTTTGCAGGGCAAAGAGACTGGGCAGGAGCAGACCCTAAACAATTAATAGTGCTCAGTGTTGCATGTCATGAGCATAAGCACAGGATGCTATAGGAGCATGAACGAGGGCACCTAACTCAACCTTGGGTGAAGGAGAAAAACATCTCTGGAAGCCAGCCAGAGAGACAATAGGTGCTCCAAACAGAGGAAACAGCTGTGGCAGAGGCAATAGAGATCATGGCGGCTGCCAGTAGTTCAGTTCTGTGGGAGGGCAGGATGCAGAGGACAGGGGAGCCCAGGTCTCATGGGGTTTGGTGAACACTGTTTGGCATTGTCCCGGAGGCAATGGGGAGCCACTGAAGAGCATTCATCAGTGAAACATTTTTTAACAAGTGTTTAAAGCAAGTTGAGTGCTGGGATTTTGACTTGGGTGAGATAGATCTTGGTGTCACTCACCTAGAGAGAGAATACAGGTGTAGTCTGTTTGTTAGTTTGAAGAGTAAGCCCTCCAGGTGGTGTCAGAGTGGAACTGAACTTAATTAACAGTGTCCTATTTTGCCACGCAATACCTTTCTGAAAAGTCTCATTAAATGAAATATGTGAGGAACCAATATCATCTTACTGTTTCTGGAAAGTTTTTTTTGTTTGTTTGTTTGTTTTAATCTCTAAACATACTTTGTGCTTAAGATGCAATTTTGATTTTGTTTTGGAAAGTTTCTGGAAAGGTTTTTTTTTTTTTAATCTCTAAACATACTTTGTGCTTAAGATACAATTTTGATTTTGTTCTTTCCCTTCTAAACTGAACACAGAATTAACTAGCTGAAGTCTAATGAATTCTTTGTTCAGGCCAATGGTTTGTCCCTTGGGTCTGCTTAATGTCTCCCATCTATGGCTCAACTCTATGAAGCTAATAAGATCTGTACTTCTGGTCACTGATATTATCACCTTTATTTTCCAAATTCCACCCAAAATAAAAAAGGCAGGTCATGAAATTGGGGAGGAATTTGGTAACTGCCTCATCAGTTGCCTTTAGCTCCTACTTACGAGTAAATGACTACTTTTTCTGGGAGGTCGTTCCGAGGTGCCTGCGGGTTGGGTAATCCTTCATGTGTTCCCATAAAGTGGCACCTGTACTTTCCCTGTGCTGCACCCCTCACACTTTACTGTAATGGCTCATTCACTGCATTTAAGATTATCTTTCTGTCAAAGACAGAAACCCATTAGCTTCTTCTTGATTGCATTCCCAAGACTTGGCAGAGTTCAATCTATTTGGAATGAGTGAAGTACTCCATGAAGTGCATATTATTGTTCCCACTTCGAAGATGAGAAAACAAGCTCAGGTAGGTTAACATTTGCTGAAGGTCAAACTTTGGTAAATGGTTGGAATCAGGACTGAGCCCAGACCCTCTAACCTTGAAGTTCATTTTGTAGCCCTACTAATTACCTCTGAGTACCAGTGACCGCTTTGATGCGGAATTTTTAACGAATTTGACCCTACCTTCAAACAAACAAAAAAAAATCCCACATGTGAAAGGAATAGGTGTATTTGTGGCAAGTTTAGCTTCCCCTGCTGGATGTGTGTGATGTTCATATGGGACAACGGCAAGGACACCTGGCAACAGTCCCACTGAGCCTCTGCTCTGCAATGTGGCTCCACTGCTTCAACCTTTGACCAAGATGTTCAATGATTTCACTGAGAAGTCACACTAGGTAGTCTGGCCTATGTGCATGCCCTATAAAGGATTTTGGAGTATTTAGTAATTCTCAAAATGTGCTATGTGGCCCCAGGTCCAAGTGAATTAGAAAAGAGAGTAGGAGTTAACCAAGAAGGACTGTGGCTCAGGCCCCCGCCCTCACCTGCTTCAATCTTTGTTCCAATGTGCTCTTCTTAGGGAGGCTGTCCCTGGCCACCCCACTGGACCTTGGCATCCCCTACTCTCTTTTCTGCTTTGTTTTTCTCCTTATCACTTATCACTGTCTAGTTAATAATTCATTTTGCTGAAGATATTCATTTTATTTGTTGTCAGTTCTTCCCACTAGAATGTAACAGGGCAGGCAGATACATCTGTTTCATCCTCTGCCATTTCCCCACTCCCTGGAGCAGTGCCTGAGACATAGTTGGTCCTCAGAAAATGTTTATTGACTGAGCTGTGTTCATCACACTATCAATGATATTTTGAAAAGTATCCATAAGTAAAAGGGCATTGATTGTAACA